TTGGTTGTAGAAGGCTTCAGCAATCCTTACATGGAGTGTACAAACACATTTAGATCAAATGGGAGCAAATATGCACTACAAAATTCTCAAGCGCATCATACAAAATATGTGGAATTCATACTACAATGCAAATATAACACTTCACATAAAGGCAAACAAAGTTTACAAAATCATTGACTTTCGGATATCATGGGATGGTTCGAAAGTGTGCAAAAGAATGTGGTAGACGGAAACAAGAAGCAATCAGTGGCAAACAAGAAATTAATGTTTGTTAAGGTTAAACTATGAGCTGAACATTGTACACATACCACAATTTTACAATACAAATATACATACGCAATAGGAATTTCACTTTCACATATCAAAAGACAAATCAATACTCTATAGTCAGATTTAACACTTCTCCGGAAATGCTATAAAGACATTACATCACCAATAAAGACAATTATTAATTACATACATGATTTAGACAAATGCAGCAACAGTAGTACATTCAAATATGCAATTTAAACACACCAGGATACCTTAAACCAGACCATATGAACTTCAAGATTACTAATGCAAAAGTAGTGTAAAAGCTCTCAAAATTTATGAGCATGCCAGGAGTCGCTTACAACACTTTGCAAGGTTGTGAACCAGCCGAGGGAGGGAAAAACACTCATACAGACATCGACCCTTCAAACTACATGACTGTCGATCAGGAGACAGGCGGGGAGGGAGCGTCTGCATCTGCAGGGGCCTAGCCGCCCATCACGCCTACCTCGGCCCTGTCGACGCACATGGCGTTAGAGCTCAATAAAGCAATCAGTAGCAAAAGTGCCTCCACGACACGCGTCAAGTGACACGCCAGTGACACACGAGGCACGGCGGCCAAAGCCTGAGCGGTAGACCAGGTAGGCGTAGCTCAGGCTCACGTCGAACACAGCAAAGTGACCGACCCCGATCAGCTGGCTGCCGGCTCGTGGCTCGCGGGCAAGGGGGGAAGGCAGTCGACGTGGCGCGACCTAGCGGAGACGAGTAGAACCTCGTCCCCGCTCGGCAACGCTCCGCCCCGCCTACAGGGGTGAGGTAGGCCAGCCCGCGCAACGCGCACATGCATTGGGGTGCCTACCCACCAGGCGCCTCGCCACGGCCGGTGGTGAAGGCAACGGCGAGCGCAGGTACAGCCAACAACATGCGAGGCACTGCGCGGCCGACTAAGGCACGCGGAGACTCGTCCTCAAAAATGTAACATACCCGTTACAGCATTGGGGGGCGAATCTTCGCTGGACCCGCTGGACCTTTCTCAGGCAAACGACTCTCACAAGCTGACCTCAGAACCTTTCTTCCGGGTGCGTTCGGCGGCGCTCGGCCCGAGCCGATTTCCCGCCGGAGTCGGCAGGGCGATAGGGGCAGGTAGGCCACCAATCTCGCTGTAGTGCAGGGAGGGAAAGAGGATTGCCTAACTGGCAGGCGCTCCGAGGCTAGCGCGTGACACTGTCCACCCTGACTTGCTGTGATAATTGTCTCCGGGCGGTGGGTATCCACTTCTCGTCTCCACTGCATGCCCGTGTACTACTGTAACAACAGAAACATTAAATAGACCATTACAAACATACAATATATATGGCAAGTCAACGACAAGGCATCCACCTCAACAAACATACCAGTTTACTTCGCCGTGTGTGTGCCATTGGGTTGAACAACAGGGACAGCTGCTGAGATCATGGCAAATAAATGCGGATTTGACGCACCTCAAGTAACATACCTGAAACAGATTTATGAGAACGAAATCAGTGGCACAGAATGCATATTGGGGAAGACAAACAAAGGCAACAAACAAAAGCCTTTGAGGAAGCTGACTCGAAGAAAGCCTAAAAGTCAAGCAAGACATCAAATCAAAGTGCGAGACAAAACAAAAACATTACATGTGTGAAAGCGAACAAAGTTTACAAAACCATTGACTTTCGGATATCAAGGGGTGGTTCGAAAGTGTGCAAAAGCATGTGGGAGACGGAAACAAGCAGCAATCAGTGGCAAACAGGAAATTAATGCTCGTTAAGGTTAAACTATAAGCTGAAATAACAACTCACGGGAGTTTAAGGACTCTCACCTGGAGTGCTACTACCCTCACGAGTCGACAACCCCGCGAATAAAGGAGCAACGTTTCGCGGAAGATCGACATACGACGCACGAGTATGCCGCAGCACTAAGTTGACGTCAACAATACTGCAGGCATCGTCTATTAATTGAGAATCGGCAGAGCAGAGCAGAAGCGTGAACAACTTCGGTTGTTTGAACCACTTCGGTTGAGAAATGCACACACATTCTCATCCCATAAACGAAATGGGCAGACGGCAGGGTAGGCGGACAGCGACGCGCGCGAAATAGTTCTCGCAGCGGCCGAGAGAGCGCACCACTAGCGCGATGAAAGAAGAGACCAGTTGAAAGGGTAGACCACTTGAAAGGGTGGACCACTTGAAAGGGTAGACCAGTTGAAAGGGTAGACCAGTAGGAAGGGTAGACCAGTTGAAACACGCACTTTTCGGGACACTAGTGGACCAGATGAAAGGGTAGACCAGTTGTAAGGACGGACCGACGGGACACTAGACCAGTTTAAACAGTAGACCAGTTGAAAGGGTAGACCACTTGAAAGAGTAGGGCAGTTGAAAGGGTAGACCAGTTGAAAGGGTGGACCAGTTGAAAGGGTAGACCAGTTGAAAGGGTAGACCAGTTGAAAGAGTAGGCCAGTTGAAAGGGTAGACGAGTGGGAAGGGTAGACCTGTTGAAAGGGTAGGCCAGTTCAAAGGGTAGACCAGTTGAAAGGGTAGCCCAGTTGAAAGGGTAGACCAGTTGAAAGAGTAGACCACTTGAAAGGGTAGATCAGTTGAAAGGGTAGCCCAGTTGAAAGGATAGACCAGTTGAAAGGGAAGACCAGATGAAAGGATAGACCAGTTGAAAGAGTGGACCACTTGAAAGGGTAGACCAGTGGAAAGGGTAGACCAGTTGAAACACGCGCTTTTCGGGACACTAGTAGACCAGATGAAAGGGTAGACCAGTTGTAAGGGTGGACCATATTTATAGTAGACCAGTTGTAAGGGTGGACCATATTTATAGTAGACCAGTTGAAAGAGTGGACCAGTTGAAAGGGTAGACCAGTTAAAAGAGTAGGCCAGTTGAAAGGGTAGACCAACTGCAAAGTAGACCAGATGAAAGGGTAGACCACTCGAAATGGTAGACCAGTTG